GGTGGGGGATGGGGAGCAGGTGGTTGAGGGTTGTTGAGTGTGAAGCGAAAGGGGAAAGGGGGCGAGAATGCAAAACAGAGAATTGGGGAAATATGGGTGGAATCGCAGCGAGGATTGCTGACGTGATTATATTCAACATGTATGGGGCATTACAGCGCTGTAAGAGGACTGCAAGTCCCGCCGGATCTGTTGCAGCACGGAATTTCGTCCGCCACCCACACCATGTGTTCATGCAACGCTGGCGCCTCCGCTCTCCCACGCTAGAAACTCTTCTCTGTTGAGTCTGCGTTAGCACACTCGACAACTCCGGTTTTTTTACGTCTTCGCTGTTGGGCGCAGCATGCTTTGCCAAAGGCAGGTCCAAAATAATTCGTGGACTAGGGTACTGTTCTGCACCACGTGCCCAATCTCCGCCGCAACCCTTCCACAACCCTCGACGGCATTCTCCTTCGTTCCATCCCCCCCTCCCCCTCTCCGTCGGCTCACCTCGGCCTGCTACAGCATCCTCCAATCATGCTCCCGTATTCAGGTCACCACGTCTTTCCCTCACTTGCTGCCATATTACTCGTCGCCCCACTTGTTGATTGTCTTTGCTTCCTGAATCTCTTGTCACATCCCAACCCCAACCGCCATTCCCCGTGTCCACTGCTTTGCTGCATTGTCATCGCCCTTCTTGCCAACTTCGGTACACCAGCACACGACCGTCTTGCACAACCGCACATCTTGCATCGTGTTGCCAACTACCCTTCGAAGGGTACATGCTCTACGGTACCAAGGGTACCTCCGTCAGAATCCTGCCACCTCTTCAAAACCGAATTACTCAGACTGCTTCTATACGACAACTCCGCAGCGTACCCCCTCTCTTTCTCCTTCCCATAGGCTTATCTCCATTCGTGCTGCTTGCTTCTGCCTCTGTAAAGCACCCTATACGTCTCCGTGTCATGTTGTCCTTTCACGCACTGCAGTAGACTGTACACGTCGCGCAGTATACTGTACAGTACAACACCCGACCCTAGATACGCGCCCTCACCTCCGTGTCTCCGTGTCTCAACGTCTCAACCGCCCATTCTTGCGCTTACAACTCTTCACCTCAAACAGCCAATCGTGCTGTACGGTTCGGTAAAACAGTCTGAATTCGCTACACTCTATGAAGTTCTGTACTCACATCTCCCTCCTGCCAGCAGACAGCATAGCTACAGTTTTCTTGTCCGTGCTCCTAGCATCTGCTGTTTACATCAGAAAAGACGTCATGCATCATCCCAACAATTGTCTAAAGCCTCGTTCTCGTTTTTGCATCAAGCCCTGCGGCATGTATGTTGTCTCGTTAACAGGAACAACAGTGCCCTTTTCATGCCTAGCTCATGAGCCCGTACATGTGGTCATCTTGCTCTCGCAAGCCCTTGCTCGTTGCCCCAGCCGCGAACCATACCTTCTTTTATTGCAAAACACCGGTTTTGTCGCACATCTTTCGTCCGTAATTACTACACAACGCACGAAATCCGTGTATCCCTCGTTGTTTGAAACAGAGTTTATAACAGCTTCATTTAATCTTGTATCCGCACCCCAGATGATTTTTTCCATCCATCCATGACTCAATGCCGAAAATTTTAGCTTGTAGAGCTCTCGATGACGAGGAATGTCCCATCCTAGTACCTCCTTTTCCACCGTGTCGCTTTCCACACCCGCATCGTGAGGAGGCACTCGCACAGCTCGCTCAGTCTCGCTTCCTCGCTTGTCGCGCACATCCCATGAGAGCGCATCTGTGTTTCTTACCACAGCCATTGCGGTAAAGCCACGACTCTTTTGGGCACCTTAGTTTCCAAATCCCCCCGCGGCGACCATTCCACTTAAAACAACTGCAAGCCTGGGGCTCACTTCAAACACTCTCTACACAGGCACAATTCTGTATCCTAATGCAGATGTGTGTATACTGTTTCTCTGGAAATGCTCTTCTAACCCTCACCGAAAGAGCAAGCATATGAACACAGACAAGTTCTTGGCAGTACGGGAGCTACCCTCTGTGTGACTCTCTCTCTTATTTCAAGGACTTATGCTCTCGGGTAAGAGGTGTCCTTTTACCTGCCGATTTTATTATCTACACCACCATCTCAGAATCTAGAATTTCCAATATTGCTTCAGAACGAGGGCTTCGATTATTAATACTGGCTACACGTAGTCTTTGTGCAGAAAAGCCGGACACCTCTTGCTGGCACTGTAAAGTTTACCACAATTTCAACAGAGAAAGGCCAACCTTCAAACATGTGCTGTGTTCAACAACAACAAAAGGATTGCGGCGAGTGAAATGTACAGCGAAGGAATGTGTTTATAGTTTAGGCAAAGAAGACATTTGCAAAGCGTTGGAAGAAAAGGTCATTTATTCTGCAAGCACTTCAAGAACTCTTGCTCTTACTGCGGCGTTGTTTAACGTGCATAAATTGTCAGTACTAAACGTATTGTGATGCTACTGTTCATTCTATTTTCAAGATTTGGGCACTGCCATTAAAGCGAACTGAGACCCAAGATTCCCCTTTTTGTTGCTCAATCTGCTGTTCATTCGTTTGCAAATTTCTGGTACCATATACTGTATTGCAAACATATGAAAACGTTGTGTTGGGTATCGACAGCGACTATGCTTTCATGATGACAAGAGCGGGCCTTCCCGGGCCACGAGAAGAGCATGTGACTCGTGCGGTGTCCTAAAGCCATGTTTTCCATACAAAGAATCAACTACCGTTCCTGCCCCCGTAAATCGTAGTGAACGAGTCGCTGGGTCGAGTACACCTTCACTTCCGTCATCAACGTTTATGTTCATCGCAGCCTCCTCAACGTTAGCGCCAGTGTAGACACTCACATTGCTCGTCAATGAGAATACCCGACGAGTGCCAGTGGAGGCGGATGAGCGGGCACGAGGGGGCATTACATGTGAAGGGTGTGGTGATGCAGGTTGATGGTCCGTAATGTTGCTGCCGTCCCTTGCAAGACACAAGCTTTTCGTCCTTTCTAGAGAAGATAAAGGGGTAATACGGCTTGTTTCAGTGCACTCACTACCCACTAACGATTGCACCAGTGCAGGACAGACAAGCTCCTTTAACTCCTGCACGGCTGATAAGTTGCTGGACTGAGCTTTGCCTGAAGTCTCTTTCAGATTCCTTTCGGATTCATCAATCAGCTTCTCGCGGTCAACTTCGCTGATGGGAGTAGGCTGCTGCGAGAATGTCGATATTGCCTCAGCACGGCCCAGTCCTTGCAATTCTGAAGCATCGTTCTCTCTGGCTGTCCGTTCATAGCTCGCGCTATTCAGCAAACTGGACTTCTCCGTCTTCCCGAGTGCTTGCTTATCACTTTCAGCATGCAAAGGCTCTGGTGAGTCCGGGAATAACTTCATTTTCAGTTTCTTGTAGAGGGCCTTGCTGAAACTGCGCACTATATTCGCAGCCCTTTTCAGTCCAGTATTGTATCGCCGGAAAACATCAGACTGGAGTCCATCGTGATTGCTCCTTGATTTCTCAGCTTGACCACCCTTCTTTGATGATAGCTGAGTACCTCGATTACATTTAGAGAAAGTCTGATCAGAGCTTTCCGATGATGAGACAGGAAACCCATCGGCGTCCACGGCATTAGCGTCATGTCGCAGTTTTGATGGAGATGGCAGCACACCGTGGTGGAAGGTTTCGGTATTGCTAACCGTTTCTGCGACATGAGGCAACGGTTTGCCGGTATTGTCAAAATGGGCGATTGGGCGCGGAACTGCGCTGGGCTTAGAGTTTTGTGCAAGCGGCCTGAACAAAACACGTTGCGAAGAGGTCCCCAAAATATGCTTTGAAGGTGAGCCAACATGGACATAATTTAGAGCCTGAGGCCTTTCTGTTGGCGATATTCCAACTATCCGTGGCGATGCAAGACTCGAAATTGAGTGTCGAGTGAGATTCGGGTTCCGCTCTGGCTCATCTTCAAAAAATTCGAGTAGTTGACGAAAGCGATCACTCCCGGTGCCATGAACGCCTTCTTTCCCTCCCATGACTGAAAATGATTCCTCATGCAAGACTTGACTGTTTGAGGCTTTGTTTTGAGAAGAAAAGGCAGTTGACATTGCGAGGGTAAAGAGTGTGTCTTAAACGAATATCAAACGTGTTTTTGGTTTTGGTGATGGAGGGTGCCCGAAGAGCTGGAGAGAGTTTCTCGCTTCTCTCTTATACCCAAGACCAAAGCCGATCTACCTTCAAAAGACTTGCCGACAAGCCTGAGAATGCAATATTTCGACATGATTAAATGCAAGTAAAAGAGAGGAGATTTATGCACAGATGGCGCAAAGCAGACAAGCATCATTCCTTCAAAACACGAAATGCTTAGCTGTACGTGGCAGTCCTCTGTTTTTGTCCATGAAACTTTTCACATAGTTTGTCAGCACGGACGAGAGGCATCCATGTAGATTATGGGATTTTTGGAAATTCATTGAAGTAATTGAGTCTCAGTCTGGTCAAAAGTCCTGACTTAACGCAAGGGAGGGAAGGGTCGTGATTACGTGAACGTAGCTGATATTGAGAGATGGAAGATATCTCTCTTGCGAGGCAAGCAGGGATTTTTTCGGGGTTTACTCTCCCTATCCCTTTTGACTTCTCATGAAGTGTTCGTTGCTCACCATTGAAAATGTACTATTCCAGATGCGATCAATATAAGATTTAGGATTTCTCACGCAACACGCGTAGTTGTGATAGTCAACTCTTGCTTTGATCCTCTACGATTTCTGCATCGAGATTGAAAAAGGGAGCGAGTGACCTTCCTCCCCTGAACAGATGGTAGGCACATTCAGAGGAAGTGAATAAGATATGGCTCTGCAAATTCATTGGTGCTGTTGCGAACACCACTGCTCCTAATGATCCAATTCTCTCTCATGTCCCCACAGATACATCCAATGGATCAACACCAATTGTATATGCATTATTGGCTCATTGAATGGTTGTAGAATGAGATCGAATTTTCACAACGTGGAAACGTGAACAGCCGCAGTCGCACACCTTTGCCGCATTGAGCGTTTGTGGATACAGTATGAGTCTTTCTGGGTGCGCAAAGACAGCACTGCACTGCACGCTGTTTAGAACCACTGACAAATCAATAAAGTGGGGTTTCATACCTTTGGTTGCTGGTCGTCCGTGCGCTCCCGTCTCGCCATTAACCGACCAGTGCAAGAACGGCATTGAAGATCTCGTCACGCCTTTCCCAGGCAGTCGTCAACTTTCTACGAACCATCAAGCTGCTCCCTCCGTAATGCCCATGTGTGACTTCGCGAACGAGTCGTGGTAGTGCCTGGGGAGTCTAGCAATATCTATTCATTGCGCATTTTTCGTAGCCAGTATGGAAGAAGTCGAAGAATCCGGGAACGATCTCGCCGAGGAGATTAAGTCTTTATTTCAAATATCTGCACAAGGTAAGTCTGCCCTTGTCTTGAAAGTGTTAGTGGCAGTGCATTTGCACGTCCAAGATACGGAAACATCCCGCAACATTGGTGTTGATGTTCCGTTCTTTGGCATGCGAATCCTTCTTTTGTTTGCGTCCTTAGTTGCTGCCGTAGATCTCGCCGCAGTTACCAACATGAATAATACCTCGAAGACTTTTTACGCTGGCATGAACGAACGCATCAAAACCTTAGTAAGCGCCGCTCACAAAGTCCAAGACCACGCCCAAGACGCACGACAGTTCTCCAGGAACATAGCCGAGTTATTGAACAGAGCCCGTCGTCTCGAAGCGTTGGTAGACAGGCTAGACGAATACACTAGCAGGCAAGAGGCGGCCCTTGCGAAAAAGTGACCGCGTATCCCCCCACGGCATTTCACCGGTGGTCGTCAAAAAGAGCCATATCGGATGGTGCGTGTGTTGGGACATAACAAGGTTATGCCCTTTTTTTGGTGTTCATAGGGCCCAGTTTTATACTCCTAGTTCTCTATTTGACAAGATCAAAGAGTCCAGCATCATGATCACGGATACTGAAAGCCCTCTCAAAGGTTCTCCTCCACAAGACAAGACGCCAGCGTTTTGCGCAAGGAATCGAGGTCGAGATCCCTGCCTATGATCACGAGTTGGTTCCCCGGTGCGACTCCCTCTGGCCATTCATCCTCTTCGAATTGGAATCGTCTTCCCGACAGCTGGAAAATATATCTTCCTCCAAACCCGTACAGTCGGAGCAGCCCTTTAGCCCGAAATACACCTTCAGGTAAACAATTCAAAAACTTGTCCATGAAGAGCTGCGGATCCAATGGTGCATCTGACTTAAAACTTGTTGTCACAAACCCATCAACCTCAAGGTGGTCACTATGGTCATGAGTGTGTGATTCGTGGGTACAGTCCGGTTTGCATTCATGGTCGTGATCATGAGAATGTTCGTGATTATGTTCATGAGCCTCGTCATGGCTGTGTGCCTCCTGAGCATCGTCGTGATCGTGACCACTTGTTGTTATCTCGTTGGCGTTCTTCTTTCTCGGGTTCAGGAATCCTGGAGAATCCGCCACCCGCAATCCTACGTCTAGTATCATATGAATGGGTACTCGCCCGCGTTGTGATCTTAGTATCCTCGCAGCTGGGCGCACGGACTTAATGTATTCGACGATGGCTTCTGTCTTCTCCTTTGATGCAAGGTCTGTTTTCGACAACAAAATCGTATCTGCACTCATGATCTGGGATAAAGCTGCCTCCGAGTTAATAGTGGCCTTCGGGTCAAAGTTGTCAGCGTCCACCAAAGTTAATATACCATCAACCCTCACTCTCTCTGCAACTTCGTCAGAGACCATGAGAGAATTGATTACAGGGACTGGATCTGCCACACCCGTAGTTTCGACAACTAAGTAGTCGACCTCATTCGCTCTTTCCAGGATTTTTAACACGGCATTCACAAATGAGTCGTTGATGTTGCAACAGATGCAACCATTTGCTAGTTCGAACACCTCATCATCAGTGCTCCAATCCCCCTTCTCAACTAGCTGATTGTCAATATCGATCTCTCCAAACTCATTAACAAGGACAGCAATTTTGAGTCCATGATCTGCGGTGAGAATGTGATTGAGAAGAGTAGTTTTCCCACTACCAAGAAAACCTGTAACGATGGTGACAGGTAGTCCCGACTGCGGTACTTGGCGCAGAATCCCGTCTGCAAAGTCACCATCCCAGGATGCCAATACGACGTCTTCGTCGTCATAAGTACCATCGTCTTTTGGTTGTGGTAGCACGGAAGAATCTGAGTCTGCTGAAAAGCCCTGTTCGAAAATGTCCAAAGCGCTTATTTTGTCGTATATCTCGTCGGGCACGTCCTCGCCAGCTATTGCACCCGCACCCGCTGACCGATTTGGCTCAATTGCTTCCCCGTTTATTTGTGCTTCCTCCCCCACCGCAACGGTTTCCTCTTGCTGCGTTGAATCTTGTAGTTCCTGCACTCTAGTGACCGGCGCTATTTCCTCTTCATGGTCCTCGTCATCGTCGTCCTCAATCAGCGGGACCCACTCTACGAATGGATCGTCAAAGTTTTCCCACATGTTTGTAAACACCATTTCCTCATCTTGCAACAAGCATCCGTCTAAAAGACCTTGCAAACGCTCCTTGTCTATACCCATTCCGACAAACACAATTTCTGTCTCTCGATCTCCGTACCGATTGTCCCAGCCGTCCATGATGCGTTCCCGATCACTCTCTTCCGTCGGCCATTCCGAATCAGGGACTGCAGCCCAGAAGCGCTTTCCAAGACTAAGCGTCGCGGCCACACCCGCCTGATTCCATTCCAATGGGGCTATCATCCGGGTCGCCAACCAAATCCTCCCCGTGCTTCGTACAACGCCGTTGAAAGTAGCAACGGCTTTGATGTGTTCGTAGAGCCGCTGAGGGTGAAATGGTCGCCGCGCCCGGTACACAAAGGTGGCATCCTTGAGGGACTTCGGGAGCGCAGGCTTCATGGTGCCCTTGGTAGCGTTCCGGGACGCAATCAAGACCTTCTTCCAAGTTGCGCCCAGCATGACGCTCTCGTGATCGTACAAGTTTGTATGCAAGAGTTGGTTCACAGGCACAACATCCTCAGTAGCGGGAAGAATGCTTGCACTGCCATTCAGAACTGACAACAAAGTTTGCATTTGAGACATATTCTCCAAAGGGGCGACATCGGAACTTCGCGAAACAACGATTACGTTTGCATTTTCAACGAGGCTGACGACCATCATGGGGCGCGTATCCGCAGCGTTTTGCATAGCCGGTGGCGCAGCTGCCCTGGTTCCAACGGGTTCCATTTCGTCAGTGTCAGGGGAGGCAGGGGAGGCGGAAAGGTCTTTCAGAAGCGTGTCTCCATCGAGGACAGACACAAGGGAATCGACTCGCAAAGACGCACCACCACGCGCGTGGAGGAGCTGTGCCAGCTCCTGTGGTTCCATTGAGCTGTCCGTAGATCCCTCTGCGATGATGGAATCACAGTTACGGCTAGCAGCAAGTTTTGCGATGACCTCTGCCATCTCGTCAGGCGACGAGCATGAGATCCAGCCTTCAAAGATGTCGTCTGGGCGGACTGTATCCGCGACGTCAGCAACTCCATTGGCATTGTCCCTATCCGAGGGGACGTTCCCATTGAGCTTAGTTTCGTTGGTGATCAAGACGGGCCCATCCTGTTCCTCTGTGGACGTAATGCCACCATGCGTTACGACGACGACGCGGCCGGCGGAAGATTCGGCAGCGATCTTCTCGATGACGTTGCGGCGGAGCGGGGCGTCACAGCCCGAGACGATGGTGACGGCGATAGAGTAGCTCTTCTGGGGGACCGAAGTTTCTATCTCGCCGTCGCTATCGCCGGAGACTGGGGAAGCCTGGACTGCACGCAGGATGAGACGGGTACGGCGCTTGCAGGCGAGGCCGGCGCGGCGGGGGCGATGTAGAGGACAGCGGGGCGTGAAGGAAAGGGCGAGAGGGCGGAGTTGGGGAGTGCGGCCGCGGCGAGACACGCAAGGGGCAGGGGCGAGGAAGGCATTGCAGGCAGTGGGGAGGGGGAGATGAGCGGATTGTGGGCGGCAGGGGTGTGGTGGGGGACGGGGAGAGGAAGAGGGGCAGAAGGTGGGCATAGTAGTTTTAAAGGGAAACGGGCGGATGTGATGGACGGCGGAGATGGAGTTGGGGAGAGGAAACGATTGTCTCTCTGCCGCGTAGGACGGGGCGGTGGCGGACGAGATAACGACGGTGGGGGTCAGAAGAGAGATCATCCACGGCAGGTGAAGAGATACGGAAATGTTTGGGTTTTTTGGGGTCGGGGCATTCCGCTCTCGACGCTTCACAGGGAACAGATTGCTTACAGTATAAGGAAGTTGTCATACTGTGTTGTATTGTGAGGCGGCGTTTGATGGTGTAAAGGCCGCAATGGAAGGCCAGGCTGTCGCGCCAGAGAACCCGCCACGTGAGCGAGGGGGGCCGATTGTTGACAATCGGCCGGACATCAGGGGTTGAATACGGCGCGACAAAAACGAGATATTTTCCGTGCGTTCGCGAATTGCACAGTGCAATTCGCGAACGCTCGGAAAATATCTGTACAATACAATGCAGTGCAATTTGCACTGCATTGTATTGTACAGTATTCTCAAGTGGGTATCTCCCTCAACCGACAATAGGTCAGTCCCTTGCTTCGCATCCATTTTCGAAGATACTCTTCAGCACTTGCACATTTTCCGTTCACGGCCGACTTTTCTACACGTCCACATGCATTGTTCTTCTGCCTTATTTACCTCTGGTTTACCTCGTAGATTTTGAGGCAAGCTGCCTTTCCGTGCTGGAGAACGAGGGTGCTTAGTGGCACCCCTATCCACAACTCATTTCAGACAAGCAATTGCCATAGATCCGCCCATCTTTCTGCGAAAACTGAATCGCGGCGCAAGCACCTGCAACCTCGTTCGGCGCATTCGCGAAGTGATATGATAGAAATCCGCTATGTCAGACATGCAAGAATTCTGCTAAATCGTGCCAGTTATCTCTTTCCAGAAATGACCTTACAAAAAATATCTGAATTTTAGTCATGTCCAATCGTTTAGAAGCCGCTGTGGGCAGACTGCTCTGTACACGACGCGAAACATACGTGTACCGTGCATCTTTGACATCCGGGAAGGCCTCCTTTGCTTCTCATTGCCATGCTCACATCCGCCCCGATGCGTCGAAGCCCACATTCCTTCAACTAACCAACTCACATCTAATCTCGCATCTCATCATCCATCACCGCCATGGAAGCTGCCATGCGCTCCGCTTCCTCCCTCCTAACAATCCCTCTATTCCCCCTCCCCGCCCTCTCCCTAGGCAATCCCATCAAGCTCACAGCCCTCGTCTTTCTCTTCCTCGTGCTCCTCATAATCCTCATCGCCCGTCTCCGCTACCTCCCGCACCTCCAAAAGCTTGCCCTGCATGCGCTGCGCCGGAATGGCCCGATCCCCTCGCACATCGCTTTCATAATGGACGGCAACCGCCGCTGGGCGCGTCGCAGCGGTCTCGAGTCGCACGAAGGGCACCCGCAAGGCGGCGAGAAGCTCATCGAATCTCTACAGTGGTGTCTCGAGGCCGGCGTGCGCCATGTAACGGTCTATGCTTTCTCCATCGAGAACTTCAAACGCCCGGCGCGCGAGGTCGACGAGATCTTCCAGCTCGCCCTGCACAAGTTCCACGACCTCAACGATCGCCAGAGCCTCATCCACGAGAAGAGGGTCCGGGTGCGCGTGCTCGGCAATATGAAAATGATTCCTAAGGACTTGCGCGCGGCCATGGCCAGCATCATGGAAAAGACTAGAGCCTATGCCGGCGGGCCGACCCTCAACATTTGCTTTGCATATACGGCGAGATATGATATGGCTGGCGCGGTATGTGAAGTGGCGAAGATGGTGAGAGCGGGCGAAGTTAGAGGGGAAGAGGTCACCGAGGAGACAATTGGAGCATGTTTGGCGACGGGGTATGCGAGAGGCGGAGAGAGGGGAGCCCCTTATCCCCAGCTGCTGGTCAGGACTTCAGGGGAGACGAGGTTGAGCGACTTTTTGTTGTGGGAGACGGCAGACGCGGTGTTAGCGTTCTATCCGGTGCTTTGGCCAGATTTGACGATGTGGGATTTTGTCCGTCTTCTGTTGGAGTATCAGGCACAGTGCGATGGGAGGAAGAAGGGTTTGATGAGGAGAGGGATTTGTGAGCAAGGAAAGGGGGAAGCTTGGACAGCCGGTAGCGAGGGACTTGAGGATAAAGGAGTAGCTGGTCAATTCGAGAAGTCGAGGGAAGAGTATTTCGAGGCGATCAGAGGGTATCGAGGCGAAGCGAAGGACAGCCAAAGAACGTAAGAAGGGAGTAAATGTATATGCTCCCATTTATTCAACTGCTGGTGCGTATAGTTCTAACTCAATCCCTTGGGGTGAAGAAGGATGGCGGCCAAATAGTGAAGAACGAAACGGGCACTGCTCCATGCGTCGTCGGAAGAATCGGATTTGCTGTCGTCAAGTTGTGGAGATCGCAACCTCTCCTTTTTATGGTCCTTCCCTATTCTAAATATATTCGACGAGATCCATCTGCGACAAAGCGTGCTCGGTAAAGTCTTCTACAGCATTGCACACTGTAGTTGCAGCATCCTTCTTCCTGACTGCTGAGTAATTCATATGTCAGATTGAACACGTGTCAAGAGCCCAAGTACCGGAGAAGTGTCCTGGCCCGCTCATTTGGCGCAATTGGTGTCGTTTCAGTTGCTGCATCATACCTGTACGAGTTCTCTCCCCTGTTATTTTGGCGGGACTGCTCGCGAAAAGCGCCGCCTTCGGTGAACTACTCCCCCCCTCCTGCCTCGCCCCGGACAACAGTCGGCATGACATCAGAAGAGCTGCAATTTATGGAGTTGTCCGACTCTTCTGATGACATCGGCTTCCTCGATGAGTACTCGACAAAACTCCAATCTGATGTGCGCGGCTCCAGCAGCACCCGCCTTGCGGCGCACACGCCGAAACCCACCTGCGCCACCGAAGCGGAGCCGGACTGGGTACGGGACCACACCCCACAAAAACAGACCGACGTCGATCGGAGGGAGGCAATCCTAGCTGCGCTCGATGACGACGAGGATGATGACAGTATAATCGACCTCGTCACCCAAGAGCGACCCTCCGAACAACCGCTGCCAAAACAAGCCGAAGAGCGCAGCAAAGGCAGCGCGGAGGAGCCCCAGCGCCCTCCCCCGGCGAAGAAGGTGAGAGTGCCGACGAAGCCGAAAAGCAAACTGCCGCTGGTTGTGGCGCCGAAGCTGGATGACTCGCTTGTGCTTCTACAGAGCGCGGATGGGGAAATGGATCTAAGCGGGGATGTCGGGGCTGTTGGTAGGGTCAAAATGCAACAGGGTGAGCTATTTCTTGATATTAAGGGGGTCGTGTATCGCACAATTGTGAATCCGTGTAACAGTCTTTGCGTTGTGTCGGTGGGGGAGGAGGAAGCGAGGGTGACGGCTGTTCTGGATGACGCCGTTGTTTTGGCATCAGAGAGGAACTTATTCGCGTCGGATGAGGTGCTCGTGCATGGGGAGTTGGGAGAGGAGGGAGGGGCGAGCGCGTTTTATTCTCAGTCGGACGATGCGGGGAGGGAAGGCGAGGGGAATAAAACGAATGTCGGAAAGAAAAAGAAGAATACAGGCGCTGGCGGGAAGCAGAAGGCAAAAGCAAATTCAAAACGGAAGGCCTCGCAGGAGTCTGAGCGAGGGCGAATATCGAAGCCGCGTCGTCCAAAGTAGTAGCTTAGCAGATAGTCTAACCATACTGGGTTGGTGTCCTGGTGCGGGCCAATATAATATATTTTATGCGAGCACTGGGCTTTTGCAATATGTTGTGCGTGATTTGTCGCTGAATATTTGAATCGGAAGGTGAACGGGTTTGTCCTTGACCGCAAACGAAAATGCGCTTGGCGCTGAGAAATTTTTGTCTAGGTCCTCTGAGGCCCGCCGCCAGAAGCGCAAGCTCCTCAACCCAAGTGTAGCCCGATCATAGCTAACTAATAAAGTGGTCGGTGTTGACTGTACTGAACAACTTTCCTGAATGTGCCAACTTTAATGTCAACATTGATGATGGGAGCACAACGATTTAAAAAAATTGCTGGGGCTGCACTGTCAAATGAAGAAACGTCAAGTATCGCTACCCTAGGGTACTAGTAGTAACGATACTTGACGTTTCTATGTGGTAACTTACTACATTCCGTAGCGCCAAATATGATGGTCAATGCAGTGGTCTTAATTCGCGCGCTATATTGACACGTGTGCGGCCACAGGGATTAGGAATGGGGTGCCTCTTTGCCGTTCTACAGTTGTAGGATTTTTCTAACCGTCGTACGCCAGCCTTCGCTCACTTCTGGCACCCGTGTTCCAACGCAAGGCTTCAGAGAGTTTTTTCTTGCTGCTCAATTTGCCTGTCCACCGTGATAAATCCGTCTTGCACCAGAAAAAGAGATGGTAGGGGCCGGAAGTTCGAGTGGCTCTGCGGCGGCCGGTTTCTACACAGCTATGCCAGCGAGCGAGACGGACGGTGAGACTTTTGATGGTGAAGCCGATTTTGACGATTACGAGGAATGGGATTTTGCCGAGATGTTTTCAACTGCGTACGTAAGCGAGCTTGCGTTGCGTGTTGGCGGCTGCAATTATTCTACCGAGGTTAGGTGCTCGATTCTGACACGAACTGTTGGTTTTTTGTTTATTGCGCAGATCGAAAAACGTAAAGAAGTACATTTTTCAGCCCTTCGTCGTCGGGGCTGCCGCTGCCTTCGGCATGTCAGTAGGTGCGCTATTCTCGCTTTCATTGTGATTTAATTTCCTTGAGATACGCGAGGAAATGGACGCTAAACCTTTGTTGAGCTTATATTCTTCTAATTCATGCGCGATGTATCAGGATATGCAATGTTCGATGCTACTGCCGCCATGTTCACTCGCAAAGGCCCATCGTCGAAGTCAAGATAGTGCTCAATGAATGACAAACATGTTGACGTCACTTGTAACGTTCATGACTATCAAGCATGTGCATAGTTTCGTCATCAAACGGGAATTGCGTCGCCCTTCGACTTCCGGGAGATAAACGACACGGTGGCCACTCTGCGCATCATGAACTAGACTACTCAGCACATAGCTATTTCTCGGGTATTTCCAAGGTTGCGATGTTATTGAAAGTAAGCAGGTCCTGTTATCTTTCTGCCAGTAAACTAATAAATACCGCTACGCAATGCTTAACTACTTCGCTTCGTAACAAGGACATTTGACACCGGGTCCACTGTGGACGCGGTTCATGTCTTCGTATCCACGCGTTCAAACTTCATCCGTTTGAGGGCTCCACATCGGCTAGCTTCTCGTATATCGAACGCAGTCTGTCTCCTGGCAGGCACGTGTGGCAGACATCATGCACAAACCGCCACAGATCGACTTGCACTTTGTTGGAGGAATTCTGTCTCTCAATTGCACGCCCTAGTTTCAAGAGACACTCTTTCGTTCTCTTGATTTTTTCATGATTGTCAAGTTTGTTGTTTTCCTTTGACAACGATCGCAGTTCTTTCAGCGTACTGATGTTCGATACCTTCAGTGCCTTCCGCATCCCACCCATCCCGCTTATAGGAACACTCTTCTTTGTGTGCTTCGAGGAAGCTCCGCCGCGAGAGACCGCCCCATCCTTTTTCCGGCTCTTTGAAATCTTTTGACCTTTAGGTGTTCTCTTCTTGTCAACTTTTCCTTCTTGTCTATCCCGCTTGCTCGCCTTCTTGGCGCTCGGCTTAGGTCGGACCTCTCTTTCTACCTCTCGCAAGAGCGTCGTAACTCTCCTGGTCAACTTGGTGGTATCTGGTGCGCCAGGTTTGCATTCTGTGTTTCCGGCAACATTCATTTTGTCAGCGAGATGCAGCTGCTTGTCCTGGGCAATTCTCGTCCAGTTTCCGAACCCATGCCTATATACACCAACTAGAAGCATTGCATCGTTTTGCGTCTTCCAGCGAACATTGTACGTTGGCGCTTTGATTGCACGGCGGAGTCTGAACTGTGTGTCGGTTTCGAAATTTCCTATATGACTTCGTAGCATCTTTAAGTCATCGCAGCGCTTCAGGAGATCTACTGCATCGACACCAGTCTCCCCGAGTGCATCAATGAGCACGCGTGATGCTTTGCTCTTTGAATCCTTTGTAGTCGAACGTCCGTTGACTTTGGAATTGTACTCAGGATCTTGATCAGTTTCCTTCTTCTTTGCTCCAGTACTCCGAGCTGTTTTCACAGCCGCCTTCGCTTGATCAAGACAATCTGTAATCATGGCTTGCCCTAACTCCTCCTCAATGCGATCCTCCAAACCGGCATCTTTCACGATAATTGTGATGAGCGTGGCGTCTCCAAACTTGCGTAGTGATCGCAATAAACTCCTTTGTTCCTTCGCAGTTAACTCATCGGGATCTGTCACTTTCATCACTGTCCTTACACCGCGTGTAACGCGCCTGCGCTTTCCATCATGCGGGGAGTCAGCGCCGAATGTTTTCGTACGTTTGCGACGGCGGGTTCCCAGAACCATGTCATTAGCTATAGCTTCGTTCCTCATTTCTCCAGGAATGACTCTGTCCCAAAATTCGTTGTCCCCTTCCTTCTCCAGTTTCCTCTTATCGTGCTCCTCCTCTTTTTTGGCCCTTGCTGCTTCTGCATCAATTGCAATAAGCTTATTCGCAGCAGCGTTGGCCATGATTTCAGTTTCGGGACCCTCATCCTCCGCCTCGTCCTCAGTCTCGACTGTTTTGAAATCAGCCCACTTGAAGGCATTGAGCAGGGAATCTCCTACGCTGGGTTGGGCCCCACCAACTTGCGATGCTTCGTCAGTTGGTGCACGCGCCAGCAGTTCGTCGATATCGTCGACTTCCAAAACCCGCCTTTCCTCTGCTTTTCCATCTTTATCTTGATCGTACACGTCCTGTGCAGTCGGTGCGTCTGCACCTGTCCCGTTCTCTTTCTGTTCACCAGAGCCCTTTTCTTTTGAATCGACTCCTACGTCTCCGGTGTTCTCTTTATCCTTCTCAAACAATTTCTCAGCCCCGAAGCGCAAAATGGCACTTAATTCTTCTTTCTTGAAAGCCGCTTGAGCGTCTTTCCCGTCTCCTTGATCCCCTCCCTCAACGCCATGAATTACCAAATGTTCAAGAACTCGCTTTCGTTTCGCTCTCTCCAAGATATCTTCCTCAACCGTTTCCCGGCTTAAGAGACGGAACACTTTCACATCCTTCTTCTGTCCAATCCGGTGAGCCCTACTTTCAGCTTGCAAGTCGTTTTGAGGGTTCCAGTCGGAATCGAAAATGATGACAGTGTCTGCCGTTGCGAGGTTAATACCTAGTCCACCTGCCCTAGTGGACAGGAGGAAGACGTAGTCATTGGAATCTGGAGCATTGAAGTGATCGACAGCTCTTTGCCGTACTTCATTCGCTATTGAACCATCAAGTCGTTGGCAAGGAAAGTTTCGCATTCGGCAGTAATCCTGAAGAATATCCAACATCCTCACCATTTGTGAGAAGATCAACACGCGATGACCTTTCTCTCTCAGGCGCAAGAGAAGTTTATCCAGCAATATCATCTTTCCAGACGCTCTGATCAAGTCATCAATACTGGTGGTCACAGACGTATCCTCGTAGTTAGGAAAGAGGAACGGATGATTGCAACATTTCTTCAGTTCCATGACCAGGTTTCGCAATGTCTGGGTGTTTCCCATACCTCTGGCCTTGTTTCCCGCGTTCAATTTCGCGAAGTTCTTCGTTAAAAGCCAACGATAGTATTGCTGTTGTGCGGAAGTCATACCAACCCTCAAAACCGCGTAAGTTTTCTTTGGCAACGACTTTTCCACATCGGACTTTTGTCTCCTAATGATATATGGACGGAGCGTTTTGTGCAAAGAACTGACTCGCTCCGGATCTCGAAGAGCTGCGAAAGAGAAACTTTCCTCAAATACTTCAGCGCTCTCAAATATTTCAGGATTCAAGAAATGGAGAAGTGCCCAAAGTTCCCGAACTGAATTCTGCAATGGCGTTCCCGTAATCAAAAGCCTATTAGCAGAGCGAAGACTGGCTAATGTGATATGTAACGCACTCGTCTCGTTCTTAAGCCGATGCGCCTCATCAACTGCAACCATGGCCCACCTCACCTCGTGTAGGTAGTCGTGATCCATCATGAGTAGTTCCGGTGTCGTAAGAAGAACATGAAACTTCTCTGTTGACGCTTTGCTCGAGACCCAGAATTCATGTTCACGTATCATAGATCGTGACTCGGCATTGCCTGTGTAGCATACTACATTCATGTCCGGTAACCAGCGCGCGAACTCCCGAACCCACGCCGCAATTGTGCTGAGGGGCACGACGACAAGAAACGGCCCCAGAACATTGCGAGAGTACATCAGCCATCCAAGGAATGATATCGTTTGCAATGTCTTACCCAGGCCCATTTCATCGGCAAGAATTACGTTGTTTCGCTTAGTCCATGAGAATGCCAAGAAGTTTAGCCCCTCCAATTGATAGTCACGCAATGTTCGACCTTCCCCGTGCAAATAAGATGGCTGCTCTAGCATTCGCTTCAGGCGGGGTCTTTCTTCTTTGTTACTGAATGGATTGTATCTTTTCTTGCTTGAATTTCCGAGTGCTGACTGCTCCCTGTCCCTGTAGTCATCGATTGCTTTCAGATCAGCTTCTGAGCTCAGATCTGATGCTAATTCCCACGTACACTGTCCATACGGCAGGTTAGACCATTTTACAAAGTATTCAACTTTCGAGGCATCGTCCGCATTGTTCCGTTGCGCGACGATGCGATCGATCACTTCGTAGACCTTAATAGCAGTTCGATTCTCTTCCATGAGGATCCTAGCCTCCTCTTCTTCTTCCGGTGATGCTTTCCGGAGTCGAAAATAAGCTTGTCTTTCCTCCACCGATTTCATGTAATTTCTCACTCGCTTTGATCCCTTCATGTCGCGTAAAGTAGTCCATGCTTCCCATGTGTTCTTTCTGAATGATTTCCCCACCCATTTGATGTTGAACTCCACATTCTGTGGATCGAAGTCAGAGAATGGAGCTTCCTCCTGGTTCGCCGGTTCCTTCTTTTCAATTGGTCGGTAGTCCAAGACGCTGTCCACCCGAGGAGATCCATCGTCTACAGGAGCATGGGGTGCTCCAGGCTGCAAAGCCTCATTCTCGGAGTCGAGAAAGTCGTCGTCGCTTTCGAAATAGTTTACAGCGCCTCCTGTTCGACTATTGATTCGCGCAGTTCGCGCGACCTCTGCGTCTTCGGTTTCATCCCTTGTGCGTCGTCGCTTGGAAGGGCGCGTGACTCCCTTTTTCCGTCGACGGCGACCAAGCAGTTTCTTCGTAGGGCCATCACGCCAATCGCCATCAGAATCAGATTCGGAATACTCAACAGGAAATCGAGTCCCTTCAGGTTCACTGGCCTTCGCTCTTTGGCGACGGCGAGCTCCAGCCCCTTGTCGCTTTTGTGGTTTTCGCGTTGGTTGTAGTTCGAAGTCATCATCGTCTAAGTCCTCCATTTCTTCATCGTCATCGTCCTCACGTCCTGTTGTTATCAGGCAGCGGATTAGAAAAGGAAAATTGAGGTCAAACGTGGTTAGTACGGGACGAGTCTTGTAACATTCTCGGTATACAGCTGTATGTCTTACGGCGGTGTGAGCCCGAGCATGCAGAAAGGCTGGTGAACGTACCATCGTCGGCGTTGAAGTCATATTCACTGCCTCCAATCGAAGAAGGAGAGTCCACCGGAGAAATTGAAAGACGTTCTGGAGCATGTCGCGAGCGACGTGAGCGCCGAAAATACTCAGAGTCGTTGAGCATGTCCTCAGGAATAACAATTTTCTCCCTGCGGCGTGAGCGTGTACGCTTACGAACAAGCAGGTTCGAGTGATCATCACTGTGGCTGTCATCTGCGATGCCGTTCGCCATCTCCTGGTCTTCACCAGATGAGTCTTCATCGTCTATTTCCATCTTGTCTGCGGATTTGGGTTTATGTTGGAGATCACTGTAGCTTCCTAAGTCGTTTTCGTCTGGTTCATCCCCGGAGGACGCTGACGCGGCGTCAGCCACATCGTCTGATTCTGATGAGTCATTGGCACTGCTGCTTCCGGGACTGGCGCTAAGGGAGTCGCTACTAATCTTGTCAGGCGAGGGCCTCGAATTGGAAGCCGCGGGGGCCTCGTCCGTGTTCTTGAGGGTAGATTGGGGGTTTGGGGATGGAGATGGTTGATCCGCGTCGGCAAGCGATTTATGGTTGGTGGATTGTTCTGGATTACTGCCATTATGCGAGAGTGACTGGTATGAGTCGTCGTCATCCTCGAGGTCGTTGTCGTCCAGGACAAAATCGCCGTCGGCGTGGTCGGTGCGCTTGTGAGATCGAGAGGTTGTTGGACGAGATTCAGCATCCGAAGATAACTCTGCTTCTTCAACCTCGAGAGGCGGGTGATGGGGATTGGAGGGCCCGGGCTGCGACTCGGCAGCCGAGGACATACTGCGGAAGGGTTGAGATGTAAATTGGTGAAATTGGTTCTGAGGAAGACGAGATATGTGTGTATAAAGGGCGACGGGGTGATTGGGGCAGAAACGGGAAGAATTGAAATAGGAAACAGGTGGAAAATGACAAAAAAGAAACGGAAAAGGAGAAGGCAGTATACTGCGCGGTTGAGTAGGGAGGATTTGGGAGGAATAAAAAGGAAGGATAGTAACAAGGGAGGCAGTGTGAGAAGAAGGGGGAGCAAATGTTACGGCGAAAGGCGAAGTAGGAAAGAAAGGCGGCGTTGTGCAGGGGCTAGGTATGCCCGGGCGCCCGACAAGTAGGAAGTCACAGACACACTATTCGCGGCAGGGGAAGATAGCACTCAACCGCCAAGCAAACCGAGGCTACGCGGGACGCTTTCGCATCAAACCCAAAAAAACGCTTTCTTCTTGCAGGGTTGAGTGAAAAACAAAACAGAAAAAATGATAATCCAATGATTGCTGGCATCAGCCGAAATTCTAGAAATATTCACACATCTCGCCCGACTAATTCGTGCTCTGTACCACTGGTTTGGACAATGCAATTTGCAGAGCTGTGGGTAGTAAAATGCTGTTATTTCTTGCACCATCAAGCCCGCGCCCATTTTTGAAAGCGACCAGTCGGAAATTTGCAACATTGCGCTTGAGAGAACCTTCTGCTTCCGCCCATTGCTACGAGTGGGTCACCCCTGAAAACATACCCGACACGCTGACGGTCCTGAGAACATCTGCAGCCATTCTGCCTGAAACGCCACCGATCGCAAAGATTCATCGCTCTCCCTTCCTCGTCACGTCTTGTGCGTCCCAAGCAGACTTATAGAGCTTAGATTGGCGACATGCACGCACTCGAGAATAATGCATTCGCAAAACCATACATATACAGTACGGTACAATAGCACTGCTCCTTATTCCCGCGGTGTGAAGGGGAACGTCGCAGTGCACCCTGCGTTTTCTACCGTTGAGGATACCTTCGCTGTGAGCAATTCTTAAGAGGCAATGCTCCTGAGGCGAAGGTTGGAGCAGCTGTGGAAGACTGCTGCACACTCTTGAAGCGAGAAGGGTATCTGTAAGCTTCAGGTGCAGTGCCAGACTGGCACTGCACTCGAAGCTTACAGGTACCACTGGCACTGCCAGTGGAGGGTACTGTATGAACCCTGCAGTGCAGGGTCCATACAGTACCCTTGCAGGGCCTGCACTACAGTATAGAATGCTGTACTGTACGTGGAATTGTGACTACTTCTGCTTACAGACAGTCATGGTGTCATGTGCCGTAACCCATTTTGAGGATGACGACGATTGGATTATTGATCCCGTGATCCGATAGCACCACTACGGTACAGGGGGGACGCCAATAGTGCCGCTTTTGTTACTGCCACACTCGGATTAGTGCCGCCTCAGATTGGCAGACACGGGTCGTGCCACGTGTGACAGACGACGTGGTCACCAGAGCGGGGCGGGTATCAGACGTCTCTGCGCATGTAGATATCATGCACGGTGGTACCTCGTCGGGTATAGGTACAGTGTGTGTACGTAGTACACATGGTTTGGGCTTTTTGTCTCCAGTGTACTGTTCACAACGTATGCATATGAAATATATCCGTTGTTGTATTGTTTCACTTGCAACTGGGCACATTCTTGCCATTACACTGCTCTTATCTGCCATGTAGCGGTCGGTCCACTGTCCTGTGAACATTACATACTGCACCGATGTGTGCATTATTCTTGTACGGCTGCTCCAGCTCACCCCTCACTCCGGATTTCCATCTGGCGACCAGAATGAACTCTAAAACTGCCACGTGCTCGCATCTGAGCCAGTCTCCAAGAAACCTAATTAAATCCAAAATTTGAGCTACTCGCAATGAAGTGTAAACCAACAACATGGCAAATATTCTGTGTCAACGCCGTCGTTCATGTGAGAAATTAATGACTGCCTATTGCTACATCCGACCAAGCTCAACATCAACCAACATTTTCTTTCCCTGGTAACATTTCTTGTACCATTCTCCGAACATGGCTTTCGATCTATCCGATATTTCTTTGTTGTTTTGCCACGAACTTCAAATATACGACCAAACTAAACGGCACTTTTATCTGCTCCGCTCCGTCCCAGTGCTGATGACAAAACCGGAAAAGAAAGCTTCCATCCGACAATAACCGAGCACAATGTAGTGCAGTGGACACACTCGCCAACGAGGGCGTAAATCTCGCTATAAGGGAAAGCGGTATGTCCAGTCACCACCAGGGTGTTCGGGACCCTCTGTCCGTGGTAGTTCAGAGGTAACGCGAGAATCGTGGGTAGAGTCGCGGTCAGCGCGTGAAGGGGTAGTCGGGATCGAGTAACTAGGAGGAGTGGGTGTGGCAGTCACGTCGCGGACCGCTATCGACAGCGTCGAAGAAGAACAAAACAAGAAGGGAGAAGAAAGAATGAAGGAGAAGTGTAGCGTAGAAACGTAGAAAATAGGGAAAAAAGTAAAGGAAAACAAGAAAAAGGATGACGACGAAAGGTGCAGGTACCAGACTTAGCCAACTAGATAGGAACCGTAGAGAATTCCAGCAGAGATGGGGTCCGATCACCTGATGCCTCTTTACTGTAGAGCTTTTCGACACCCGACCTATATAGGCCGAGCGCCGTCGTCGGCGTCGCTTACTAAATGGGTAATTAATAATTAATTATCGTCATTAGAATTGCCACTTGGCATTACACGCTAATTAGCGTAGAAACTTGTGGGCACCACGTATGTATACGTGTCGTACACGTGTCGTACACGTATCATATACGTGTCATACGACTGTCATACACGTGTGGCCACGTGTGGCCACGTGTGGTACACGTGGGGTACCTTCCCAAGTGTGCGCCCACAGTACACGTGTCAAAGGCGGGGAGCGCGGTCCCGCGACGTTGGTGACCAGGGATAAAGGGCGCAGGGTCACTGCACTACACACAATATTGATATCCCAACAAACTCCACAAACCAGGACAACCCGCTTTCCAATTTTGATCAGGCTTGTTTAAACAGGTGGAAAACAGCTTCACTGCAAAGGCGCTAAATGCCAGATCAATAATATTCAGTGTTCCAGATAATCAAATTTTGTGAATTGATAAATATGTATAAAACAGCAATGCAACCAGTCTCGTAAGCCGAAAAAAATTGTAAAAGGTAGTAAATGTACAAACCAAAAGTAGTAGGGTCGATCATGTCTGTTAAAGGTCGTTACGTTGCTGTTATGGACATCACAATATTTTTTTAGTAATAAGCTGGACCACTGATGCGGGTCACGTATGGCTCGGCGCACATACCTTCAGCCAACAAAGTGTTACTGCGTAAATTGCAAGGTAGTACAGTATCACGCTCCCACAGTACACAGCACGTACTCCCCCCACTAACGCAACCTGTCCCACACGACCCACCCAACCTCGCGTACCACCGACGCCGTCGTTATCCTCCATCCTCATCTCAATTTGTCCAGCAGTGCCCTGTATGGCTTGCCTAAAAAATTGCTCACCAGTGCACTGTTTGGCTTCCCTAAAAAATGGACATTCACAATGGTTTGGAAACAGCGGCAAACAATCCTCGTTTCATTCCGTCCAGAATCAAAGGGTGTGTGCAATCGTCTTCCCCGCGCGCCGATCTATCTGCTGGCATTGAGCACCCGTCCCCAAATCCCGACTCCCCCAGAAGCTGCCTTCCCACAGGCTGGATCTCCCACTCCACCACACCTCGCCCTCCACAAACTGAGCACGTACTCCCCCCACTAACGCAACCTGTCCCACACGACCCACCCAACCTCGCGTACCACCGACGCCGTCGTTATCCTTCATCCTCATCTCAATTTGTCCAGCAGTGCACTGTATGGCTTACCTAAAAAATTGACATTCACAAACCCAGCACGTACTCCCGCCACTGACGCAACCTCTCCCGCACGACACACCCAATCTCTATCAAAACATTGAGTCGTTATCCTCCATCCTCATCTTCCCATCGCCGCTCCTCGCGGACCCCTACAAGATAAACGTCTTCGACGCTAGCTGGGGGACGGTTTATTTCAGTTTTCATTCGCCCCTTCCTCCGCATGATGAAGGAGATGGTCAAAATCAAATCCATCATCAGAACGATCTTCCCAATCATCATCATTTTCAGCTATTGCATGAACTTCTGTCCGGTCACGACGATTAAGGGCGTTTACAGGATTGTACACCTTTTCAGTTCTCCTGGGCGAGTCCGTGCAGAGCTGATTAAATTGCGCCGGGGGCATTCTTAAGATGTAAGCATCCAATATATCTTTCTGCTTCGAATGCCCGGGGATGAAGTCCCTTATCTTTAAACGAATCCTGGTGCTTCCTTGCTGCGACTCATCGCTGTGTTCGCGGTCACTCAGATCTTCATCAACTATCTGACTCTTAGATAACCGCCTTTTGCCACCTTTTGGCGCACCTCCACTTTCC